AGGGCCTGAATTTCCTTCATAATATTCTCCAATGACGGTGGATCAGGTGTCGGTGTAGCTGGCGCTGGCGATGCACGGCCCCTACAGACTGTACACTTCCAAGCAGCCCTTCTTTCTACTCACAATTTTCTCCAGCCTGATTCCGAGATTTGGGCACAAGGAAAATCATAGTGCTTCTTGCACAATCCACATTGAACACCATCAGTGAAACGGGATCCACACGAGTCGCAATTCATTTTTCTGAATAACTAAAGCGGGCCGCGGTTGGGAACTTCTGATTTACAAGGCAGCGAACAAAATAAATGCGTGTACCCTAGGTAGTCGCTTAGCGCGGAATGAATGCATATTGTACTCATATTATAATTATATTTGTTATGTATATCTCTGAAATATATTATTTTATCTTTCATTAATGTTAAATCAAATCTTTGCTTGCCTCTTGCACCTACTATTTACTCTTCTCTGCGTCACCCAAAGGTCAGACCGGTAGAAAATGCATGCGGCATTTAGTACATTTTGTGCATGAAGCATATCAAATAAATAAGTAAATAATATATATTTTTTGTGGTTGCTTGTCTATTTAATATAGTTTCTTCACGTGGCTTTGTATGTCGGAAACTAAGACACCCGCTTCTCATGCATGAGGGTGCAGGTTCGAAACCTACCAACGGCAAGTACCAATGTGATACTTCCGAGATAAAAGTACTTTTTAAGATTATTTAAATACCACTGACAAAACGATGAAGGAAAACATCGTGAGGAAACTTGGATTTATAAATTTATAAGTTTGAAATTGCCAGGCCGCAATAAGCAAGCGTGGCGATCAATCCTTCTCCATGTGAGAAGAGGCTTTGCTCAGCCGTGGGCACTTATAGGCTGATGATGATGATGATGTAGCTTATAATGATTTTGATTTTAAAACGGCCTCTGTATCTTAATTAAACTTAATTAAAATCGATTCACTAGTTTCGAAGTCATAGAAAACATAAGTCTACAAAACATTTCATACTTGTAATAACAATAATTTGAAGATCGTCACAAATATGATGTAGCTTTACACACACAGATACACACATGTATGTGTATAAGGCTAAAGCTACACGTGACTGCATAAACACTTGTTCAGTTTCAGGACAAAGCATATAGCCACACAAGAGCTTCATTTTCCACTCACTTTACTTAGATCTATGTAGTTTCCGTGTACGGTACCTATACCCTTTTCTATTGCAATATTGTTTTTGTTTTTTTTTTGTGGAATAAGCCGGTAAATGAGCAGACATATCACCTGATGGTAAGCTATCGGCGCCGCCTATGGACACCTGGAACACCAGAGGCGTTGCAAGTACGTTACCGGCCTTTTGGGATTAGGAATTTGAAAATAGTTGAGGATTCAGGGATTGGGATAAGGGAAGAGGTGGGAGGGTAATTGGGCCTCCGGTAACGTCACTCACACGACGAAACACAACACATGCCGTGGTATCACTCTGGTCGAGCCGGCCCATTCATACTTGAAATCGGGGTTACGTCAACGCATTAGTACAAAGTTGTAGTTTGATATGTTCAGCTGTAAAGGTGGTGCTGATTCACTTGTGAGGCGTTTCATGGAGTTCAATGTATGATAGATGATGATGATAATTCATTATCTCCTCTACTGGTCAGAAAACTTTACGCACGGTGAAGTTATAACTAAGAAATAATTACGTAAGGCAGATTGGAATTCCAACCTTTAAGCTGAAACATGTTCAGGTTTTCTCACGAAGATCCCTGAAAGATCTTAAAGAATCCTATAGGGAAATTGGTTATGTTCACGAATTATGTCATGGTAACAAGATATAATTGTAAACACTGGATTCTCCATGCATATTACCATATCTGGGATCTATAACATTAATATAAGGCGGTCTAACATTAATTCATGCAACTGACAATAGAAATAGCAAGCCTATTCTACAATAGGTTGCGCTGTCACATTCTGTTATTGTATCCAAACGAGGTCGTGATGAATAATACATAATTATGTATGTAATTGTAGCATATTTACTTAATATTAAGTAGATTCTATTAAATGTTTAAGCTGTTTTTATCGTAGTCTAAAGGTAGATCTACAAGGGAAAAGGGTAGATCTAAAAGTAAAGACTGAATAAAAAATCCTTCTCTTTTTTGGGAAGTCGGTTACAAATACATTTTTTTAAACACATGTATGTCGTCACAGTCATCAACCAATCATTCATGTCTCCGAATTCAATCAATATTCATTTTCTTAGCTGTGTAGGTATCAAATAAATAGTTTGACTAAACATATTTATGTAAGTATATTTATTTAGTGCCAAGATTTTTAAACGAAAAAAAGTTATTATTAGAAAACAGGTGGAAACTTATGTATTAAGAAACAAATACAATAACAAACTTTAAGAAAAATGTAATAAGAACGACTAGATAATTGTGACTTAGTAATTTAACCTCAAATTAATAAACTAATAAAGAAATATTGGTTACTAGGACAAGCGTATTGCCCGTCTGACGAATTTCGAGCGAAAAGAGCTAAGTAATATACTCGACATGCTTTTTATACGGAACGAAATTTTCTTCTACATTCCAAGCTTCCCAATAATATTACCTACCTTGACTTAGCAGAAAATTCACCGTTATCCATGATTACATAAGTAGATAATACATAAATGTTTATATCAAAAGTCTAGTCCACTGGCTCTTGTCCAAATTAATGTTGTTTTTTCTTAGTCCTGGTGTTACGTAACTGAATTGATGTGAGTCGTAAACCTTGTACTTACTTGTATTGTCGTATACAAGCCGTGTCTATTCTGTTCCTTCAATTATTTTTATCTGATTAATCGGATAGATTGGTTTATGTACATTTTGGTCGATTTAAATGTTTCTTAAGGGAAGTGACTGGAGAAAGGTGCCTACTATGATGGAAATTTCAGTAACATAAAATTTAGAGACCTTGTCAACTTAGTATAATTATGTATGTCGCGTAGAACCTAATCCTAATCGCGTTACCGGGGCTCTGGCTCAAAGCGCAGGAAAAGGAACGGGGTGGTTTTTAGTCAGTAAGAGTCTCACATTCCCTCCGATGATTTTCCCCCCTTAAAAAAGTATAATTTTGTATACGTAATAAGAGACATAGTTATATAGGTATCTTATAATATCTTATCTACTACATCTTGTTGTAGCTTAAGATTATTATAATGATAAAATATTCATTATAATTAGGTAATATTTCATGATAATTATTACACAATTAGATGTAATAATAGTCTTAGAATGCGTAACAGTTCTATATAAACCTTTTATGAAATTCTTTTAAACCTACTGACCGTATTATACTGACAGTATAAAATAATTCCATAACGGTAAAACAATTAAACTGATCTTCTCCATTGGAAAAACTACATGAAGGAAGAAAGTAGGTAGGTAGGTAGGTAGTTAAGAAGAATGAAGGAAATCTCCTCTCTATATGAGGGTTTGCCATAACCCCCACGCTTGGCAGATTTGGAATTCATAACTTCATAAGGTTCAAGTGTATCAGAGATCATTGTTACCCGGTCTCTGTAAATATAACAGTTCTTTTGTCAGCTCTTATGAGTCATTCAGTCACTTACTCAGTTCCACCCACGGGAAGAGTAAGGCTGGTTTAAGAGTCGCGCTAACCGCTTGCTGACCATTGGCGCTGACCGCTTGAACGCATAAACTTCTTATAAAGCGTTTTATAATAACGCGTGTGTCGATCAGCGCACCAAGCCGTAGCTTTATAGCTACGGCTTGGTCAAACGACGTGCTGAGCTATGAGCGCTCACGGTCAAAGGTGTGGGGTGGCAAAATATGACTGTGTGTGTGCCCATTAATAAAAGAAGAATATTGTTTCAAAAATAAAGAACATATGTACATTATCCTAAGCGCTTTATATTCTCAGTAGCCAGTATGTGTTCCCCAACCAACAGGAAATTAAAGTTGAACCGTTTTAAATCATTCCCCTGATACGCATCTTGGCAGATAGTTATTACAATGTATGTTTTACTCTCATTTTGTTTCAGTAGCTTTGTACTTTCTCGTAGTTCTTAACTCTGTTACGTAAATGTGTTATCGATTTTCTTTATTGTTGTTGCTCAAGTCAAGATTGGTTAGTATAGCGACGTGTGGAGTTCGATATTTCGTCTAAACGTGTATGTACTAAGAAGAAACCTTTGCCTAGTAGTGAGTGGGGATGATGATAATGATGATGACAAAAGCGTTGCAATCATTTTTGATTTAGTATAATAGCTATGAACCAGTTTTTTATGGAATGGTAAGCGATCAACACCACCCATGACCAACAGAGGAGCCACAGGTGAGTTGTCGGCCTTTTAAAAAGTCATACGATCGTTTCTTAAAGATTTGAAGGTCGTATCGGTTCAGAAATACCGCCGACGACAGATCTTTGCACAGTTTTGCTGTGCAAGGCACTATTGTTGAAACTGGACAAATGGGATAGAATTGACAAGCTTTTAATCCCTATTAGCTTACTCGATTGAATAGTCACGCTATTCCCATTGTAATAATACCCTTTGAACAAAACAACGATATCTTAATCTCAAAAGTATATGAAATTATGTAAGTTACTGTATTCAATTAAGTTATAACGTAATAAGCAAAGCCTTTAACTGTCTGTTTGTTCTTTGAAGCGAAAACTGCTGTAACGATATTGCCCCAAACAACTTTTGAACAAGTTTTTGATCAAATTTATTTGTTTGTAAGAGATACGAGTACTTGTTTGGCTACGGTAACTATGTCGAGTATTATTTAAGCTATTATTACCTTTAGGAAATTTTGTGTTTGTTTTCATACACCCTACTGTTAAGTAATGATAGGTACATTACATAGTTACTGTATTCGTTTTGATTCTCTAATAAAACCTTAAATTCACGCAACTATCACCAAATGAAATTTGTAAACTCAAATAGTTCTAAACTAAAAACAATAAAATTGAAATGACACCACAAGAAAGTCAATAGACAACATTTTAATATATCACATTGTGGGATAAGACGTAGGCACTTAAAAGTAGCACTTAATCTATGGTTAGGCATCAGTTAATTTATTACAAGCGTTGCACAGAGAGTCTAAGTCACAACGGCACACTTTAAACGGAATAGATCCATCAAAGGATTTGCTGTAGTCCCAAAGTACTGAAACACTACCGCTTCTGGAAGGCTCGTGGGAGTCGTTAGTCAGGAGTACAGATTCACAAAATACTTTGTCACCCAACAACATGGCGACCACGGTCATTTGCTCACCGTTATAATCTATTTTACATTTCCAAGGAGTGAACGCCATATACAAATGTATCTGAGTAATTTTCACTTCAATAATTTGCTTCGTTCCACTCTTTAGAGTCAACATTTCTTCCGGTTCCACAACCCTGGGGCAGAACTGCGGGCCAGCCATTATGGCCGAGTACTCTTTGGGGAAAATTATGTTATCGTTGCCGCATGATTGCTTAGTGCATTTGCTCTTGGTGACGCACCACGTGCAGAAACTTTTCGTTATGCACGAGGCACATGTGGACATTTTCTTGCATTCTTCTTGTTGGCGGTCGCCGACAGGATCCTCCAAACTTGGCGATATAACAGCCAAAAACAATAGAGCTGCTACTTTTGTTTGGCACAACATCTTCGTTTGTAGATCTAAAACAAAAGATAGAATATTGTAACTTAACTATGAATGTGACTTATTTATTTTCTTCCTAGTTGCGGGTGCGTGTAGTAATTCTCAAGTTTCCTTGTGAATTTGCCAAATTTTGTTTCGTTCAGGCCTCGTCTGAAGGAACGAGCTCAACAACAAAAGTTTAACTAAATACGAATAACTATTTTGAAAGTAAAGCGTGATTCCTTTTCTATCTTAATTCTAAAATAAATAAAATTATACAATTTGGTTCCAAGATTCTACTATTTGACTGTGAATGCGATTTATCTTATAGATAAAATATCAAAACGTCTTACCATGCGTAAATATCGATATGCAATGATACTGAAATAATGCAAACTATTAAAACGTAAACTATTAAATAGGTTAACTGCCAGTAAAGTTAATGGAAAGGTTAACAGTGCGGCAGATAAGATCTACAATACACTATTTTCAATCGGGTCATTAGCTTTACTGATAAGAGGTCGTTTGAAATTTTCCAGCTCATTGTAAATTGTTGTTAAATACACACAACAACAAGCATTGTCATAATAATTATTTACAAAAAACTCAGACTTTGTTACATAATATGAATGCTTTATGGAAAAAATACACTTTTCAGCAAACTCCAACGTGTATTTGTTCCTATTTAGATACAATTCAGACTTTATACTGTTATCAAAAAGTGTAAAAAGTTTGCAGTATAAGCAATAATATTAAGTTTTTCCTGAAGAAAACAACTTGGGTGTCTTCAAATATCGAGTGAACAGATTGCTTGTAGGTAGACGTGCTCCATCGTGCCAACACATTTCATAAAAAAATATGCAATTATATTCATAGTTATTCTCTTAATATAGAATAATAATAGATTCAGTTTGACATTGTGGCTTATCGGATAATGATAACGTGTACCAAACACGTGTTTTGATCATAGGGGAAGCGTGAGTGACCTATTAGTGTTATCATTACAACTTTGACCTGGGAAACTAGAATTCCTAAGGCTAAGTTTAGATTACTAGGGTTTTCCAATAAAATAATTCACTGCTAATTACTTTAATTAATGTTAGAAACCTGGCAATTTTATTAAACTAATTAGAATGCGTTGTCTCCAACGTGTTGATTAGCTGTAGTGTTGCCACTTTAACAGCTGAGTATTTTATTGAAGTCTGTATTAGTTGGGTTATTTAACTGAACCCTGTGTTAAAAATATTTTTCAATCGTCCTGGATATATTAGATTCTTAGGCATAATTGTAAGCGTAGGGCGCATCTCGTGCCCCGCGCGCCTCAAAGAGCCATCAGACCACTACAGATAGGGCCGAATAGGGCTTATGCCATAGATAAGTATAGGTACTGTTTTTAATATTTCTGTGGCTGATGGCCGATACGGAACCGCGGAGGACTAACCGGGTCACCGCGGCTCGAAGTGAAGGACAGGGTGGTTTTTAGACAATAAGCGTCTGACGCTCCTTCACGGCATACATAACACCGTTTGTGAGGTTCTCCACTGTCACAGATCAAAAATAGTATCTATGATACTAAGAAATAATAATACATATCATCTAACCAAGGGTTTATTATTATTACATGACTTACGTATGTGTATCGCAGATCAATAATTTTAGCGATTATGACGTCAGAAAATAAACCCTGTATAACATTTTAAACTTATTCGAAAAACCTATGGCTGTATGGTAGTCTAGTCGACCTTGGATTTTAGACAACACTTATGGATGTCAATGAATAACATCTTAACTTTAACAATAAGAAGGAAAAAATGGCCAGTAGAAAAATAAATTTATTTTATTTTATTTTGATACGTACAGTGTATAAATATCGAATCCGATTACTACATAAAAATGGCATTGCAATTTCCATTTATTTAAAATCCTGTTAATAAAAACAGTGTTCGATCTGCATTGCAATATCGTTGCATGAATATTCATTTGCGGCATTTATTAGGCATCTCCCGTATTCGTGGTATTCAATTGAACTGGCTCTGTTCTGGTGTACATACTGTTTAAAAAGTAAACACTAGGTCAGGCACGTAGATAAACTAATCTATCTCCACAAATAAGAATTATTTACTGGCTAGGTTGTTGTTGAGAAACTTTTCTCACTGAGTAATGGCGGTACCTTCAATCTACATATTCTACAAGTCACTGTCTTGTTTTGCTTGAATTTGTTTTGCTTTATATTATTTGTACACTTGTGCAGCCCTGCTTCTTGATTTGAGCAATGTGTCACATATTTAGAAAAATTTCGAAGGTTGTATGGGATCTGAATCACGCTGAAATTGTACCCATTATTGACAGTAATAGAATTCTGGAATCGCCACAGCTATATTCTTAGAGCCTCTTTTTGTAATAAGTTTTCAAACTCTTTACTATATGCATATTGATAATTTATTTTAAAACTTTTATTTTGTTTTACAGTTTGTTTTAGTTTAGTTTTGTTTTGTTTTACTTTTGTTTGTTTTACAGTAAAAACAAAACAAAAATTTTGTTTGTTGGTTCTGGCTTCTCCTTGAAATGACTGGACCAATTTTAACAAAATTTTTATTGTCAGATAGCTGAAATACTAAGGCGTAACTAAGGCTACCTTTTCCACGCGAGTCGCGTGTACAGATAGTTGTAAAATGAATACAGGCACACTTTCCTATCTATAATAGGTATTAATAAATAAGGATTATAATGTATTGTACCTATACAATAAATACGAATATACGTTAAATACTTCTGCCTCTTTTTATAGGATAGCAAACATGCTCTAATACATGGAATTCGATTAGTTGAACGGAACCTGGAAATTCAGCTATGTTTAATCCTAACGCTGGATTATGAAAGTGTGGGAACGGAAATTGCAACTGAATTTGCGTACATAGGTACATATTTGTATTCTGTTATACTGCTGCTCAAAGTACTCAATATGCTTGCTAGCTTAATTGAAATAGAATTACATTTATCCACAATGGCGAACAACAATTAAGCAGATTTTTGTGTGGTATTTTAACATAACATAACATTACGCCTTTTAGGCAGAGGTGCACATTACGACACTTAATGCCACTGTATAAT